GGGGGGGCGCTATCACTTTGGAAGAAAGCATGGAGGAGAAGTCCCGTTTTCTGGACATTTTTAATTAAGCATTACATTTTCTTGGCTCCAATTATGACGAAAAAGATTTCTCGTAGAAAAAAGAGTGTGAAAACAAATGGCGTAATTAATGAGCACATGCGTATGTTATAAATCAGGGCCAGGGTGCTCGTCCATTGGCTATGGAGAGGCAGAGGAGTTAGGTCCTTTCTTTCCTAAGAGAGGTGGACAAGAGCTACAGTTCAATCCTCACACATGGAATAATGGTAGGTACACCTGGCATTTCAGCTTCCCAGACAGTTACTTAACTCCTATTTGGCACTTAATTATGTGTTTTTGTGCTCAATCATTCATGTTAATTGGGCCGTAACATCAATCAGTGGCCAATCTGTTGTTTCTGGAATCTCCTGTTGGGGTTGGATTTTCCTACTCCAATACCACCAGTGATCTTAAAGAGCTTGGTGACACGGTTACAGGTAATGCATTTCTGTGTTTTTCTTTTTTAAGGTAAAATTCATCAAGATTTTCTGATGTTAATTAACCAGTTTATTGTAATATTGATGATTAGCTCAAGATTCATACATATTTCTTGTGAGATGGTTCCAAAGATTCCCGCAGTTCAAGTCCCATGAGTTCTACATTTCTGGAGAGAGTTATGCAGGTGCTGATTCACAACTCACTGTCTAATTCCTCTTATGATGGTGATCGACTCAAGATTCGTATATTTTCTTTTTCTCAGGGCACTATGTTCCACAGCTTGCCGAGGTAATCTATGACGGCAACAAGAAAGTTTCCGAGAAAGATCACATAAACTTAAAGGGCTTTATTGTGAGTTTTCAACAATCCATTCCATTTCTACTAATCATTGCATGTCTTCGGAAATAAGAAATTTTTAATTAGACTTTCTTCATGAGACCAAGGACCCCACTTCTAAAACTAACCTTCGGTTGGTATCCTGGACCCCACTTCTAAGACTAACCACTATTCTGTGATGGTTTGAACCAATTGACCAGGTTCACTTTGAGCATGTCATATTATAATTACAAGAAAACCTAAATGGCGTGGTGTTTTTATTGCCCAGATGGATCTCCATGGATTATAACAATGATTTTTTTAAGAGACGATTGAATTAGCATCCAATTGCATTTTTTTTAAGAGATAATAAAATAAAATAAAATAAGAGACTGTAGAGAAAAATATAGATAAAATAGATAATGCCTTTCAATTTTATTTGAAAAGTACATTTGAGTTATTCATCTTTTTTATCTATTAAGTAATCAATCCCTCTAATTCTAAAAAAACTAATTTTAGTGCTAAATTTTATTTTTATCATACTTTAGTCCTTATTAGGTTAGAGGAGAGAGAAAATAGTTGGATTCCAACTTAGAGAAAGAAAGATATCATTCCTATGATCTCGATCAACAAAACAGTAGATTTTTGTTCCAAGTGGTTTCATATGATAAAGGAAGTTTGACTTAGGTATTTTTTTTTATCTTGAAAATATCTAAAAACAAATTTGAACTTGGAAAGAAATGGGTTGATTTTGGGTTTTAAAGCAATTTTTATGTGCTTTCAGTGGTTAAGAGTGGGTTTAACAAGGTTACTAAAGTGTTTTCTAGGTGTTTTAGCTTGAAAATAAGTTTTTAAAAGAAAAAAAAATCAATCATCCTGATTTTTCAAATACCATAATGGTTGGAATTAGGGATTTTGGACGATGTGTCGTCAATTTTTTTTAAAATTGATTTGGGGTGTCTACCTCATTATCTTACCAAAAACATTAAGACCCACATGACTGGGTTTCACCTTCGGGACAATGCATTGTTTATTTTTTTTTATATTGTAAAAAAAAATAGAGAAAAGCCATTAATTAAAATTTATAAATTTCATGGATATGTTCAAAGATTTGGTTGGTTGACCTGATTCGCAGACATAACAAATTTGATTTTTTTAATTAATTTTTTAATATCTTAATATTGGGTTAGTATTTGATTTTACGATCTTTTATTTTTGTTATCATATAGTTAAGAAAAAAATAGCTTTGAAAAAAAAAATTTATAATCTCATTAGAATCCATAACTCAATTCACAAGTTTGACGTGCTAGCCTAGGTCACTCAATTCATAAATTTAACGAGTTTACTAACTAGCTAAATATGTTTTTGGTTCTTTTATTGTTTTTAATTTTTTTTCTTGATTTTATCCTTCAATATTAGATTGGTTGAGAAATAAAATATATAATTTTTATTTGCTTTCTATAAAGTTATCATTGTCTCAAATAAGTTTTTATTTTTAGGTTGTTGCTAAATTTTGTGATCATACAATTACAAATATTTTATATATAAAAAAAAAGTTGGAGTCTATGACATAGGTCATTAGGGACTAGGATCGATTCAATCTATTATTGTCTCAATAACGTTTTTCTAAGAAAAAAATATCATTTTGTATTTTTTTAAGCCAAGAATTGTTTTCACCAGTCACCAAGATTGTTTTTGGACCTATGAAATTAATTAATTTAATTTGGGCTAACTCCCGTGTGATTTAGTTGAAAACTCGAGTTAGGCAAATAAGTTATGAGATTTCAAGATTCATTTATTAACATAGCAAAAAATTCTTCATGCTCTTAACATTTTTTTTTTTGTATTTTAATAAATTAGTTTGACCTATGTCAAAGCGTAGGATAATAAATTAATAAGAGTATTAAATTAAGGTTGAAAATGAAATGGGTTCATGTTTTTAGACATGTTGATTCAACTGACCTTGAGTTTGGATAATATTTTTTTACTTTATTTGGTCGCAACATTAAGTTTCAATCTTGAATAAAAAAAATCATGGACTTCTAGATCATGTAGTATTTTATGCATATTTGATATAAGATAAAAATGGAACATTATACAATATAATAAAAGAGATTCGCCTTTGTATTTTTTGTTCACTATCTCACAAAATACAGTGAATTGGAGCAGTGTTTTTTTTATTTTCAGTTTGATCCTCAAACTTTTATTTTGTTCTTTTAAACTCAAATTAGCTGCTAATTGCATATTGTTTAAGGAGGGATGGTTAAATTGAAAGACATGGGACTGAAGTGAATAGGGAAGATATAGTGGGGCATTTTTTAAGTTTGTTGCATAAGCTCATTTTAATCCCTTATCTTTTTTGAGATATTAGGTTATCTTTTTTGAGATATTAGGTTACTAGTCCCTGTACTTTTCATAAATTTCATTTTGGTACCAAACTTTATTTTCATCATTTTTCAATTCTTGTTTAGTTGGATGAGGGAGAGGAAGTCATCAAATTCAGTGTAGAGAGAAAAAAATATCGTTAGTGATAATTTCAACCACCAAATGATTGTTCTATGTGTCAAATAGTTTCATATAACGACGGAGGTTATGATTAGGTGTTTTTTACATTAAAAAAACCTAAAAAACATATCTGAATCAGGGATTATGATTGAGTGTTTTTTACATTGAAAACACCTAAAAAACATATCTAAATTAGGAAAGATTTTTGGGTTGATTTCTGGTTTTGGACCAGTTTTTTTTTTGTGTGTTTTAAAAGCTATTAATTGATTTAATAAGGTTACTAGAGTGTTTCCTAGATATTTTGAATTAAAAATAGGTTAAAAATAGATTATTGAGTAAAAAAAGAGCGCATATTAATAGCTGGATTTTAAGCCTAACATACAAAGCATTAATTGTTTTTTTAAATAATTGGAACAGATGATACATTATCTATCTTATTAAAAAAAAATTAAAAAAAAAAAATTCTTGTGCGGGGGCCTGGCTAGGAGATGCTTTCAACGCTATCCTTTGTTCAAGTTTGTGCAAAAATAGAGGTCTCGTTAATCACATATATACCATGAATTTTGCAGATAGGCAATGCATTATTGGATGATGAAACAGATCAAAAGGGGATGATAGATTATGCGTGGGATCATGCTGTAATATCCGACCGTCTGTACCATGATGTTAAGAAAAAATGCAATTTCAGTGAGAAGCATCCATCCCATGATTGCAAAAATGCCCTCCATCAGTACTTTGGTGTTTATAGAATTATTGACATGTACAGCTTATACAGCCCTAGATGCATCAACAGTAACTTCAGCGAAGCCAGAGACAGACCGGTTATTCATGGCAACATGGCTCCTCAATTGTTATCCAAATTTGTAATTTCTGATTGCACGTTACTGAATTCATTGCACTACTTCTTCTCTGATTCGTTTATGGTTCATGAGATTGCAACTTTCTTCTCTTCTGAGCAGGCAGACTGGCACAAGAGACCTGCTGGCTATGACCCTTGTGCCTCAGACTACACTGAGATTTATATGAATAGGCCAGCCGTTCAGGCAGCCCTCCATGCTAATGTAACCAAAATTCCCTATCCATGGACTCACTGCAGGTAATACCATCTTTGCATCTCTCTCTCTCTCTCTCTCTCACTGCAGGTAGCCAATATATATAACATGGAGGTATCTATAGATATTGTGAGTTTGTGACTTTATTTATCTTCTATATGATTTTCTTTTTCTTTTTAATTTTCAGTGACAATATCACATTTTGGAGTGATGCACCACAATCAATTCTTCCCATAATCAAGAAACTTATTGCTGGGGGAATTCGCATATGGGTCTACAGGTAAAATCATATTATATACCTGCAACCTCTTTATGAAAATAAATACCATGTCCAAAAATCATATCCATTACTTTGTAATTTCATCCAAGTAATTTGTAGTCTTAGTTTCATAGAATTAACTCAGCCGCTCTAATCTAAATTGCTGACTAACCGAACATTTTGATGAGTGCTAATGCTAATTAATAACATGCGGTGACAGATTTGACAAAGAATTTCAAATTGTCATTTGTCAGAAATACAAGACTGATTTGAGTAAATTTAAAGTAGATATAATTATATTTTAAAATTTTATCTAAAAATTTAATTTTTTAAAATAACATAATTATTTGATATAATATTAGAGTTTTATTAACACTTTTATAAATTTAAATCTCGTCATTTTATTCTATTTGATAAATAAAATATAAAATAGTAGGAGTTATTATAAATTTTAAATCTAAAAGATTTATTAGTTTTCACTCAAAAAAATAAAAAAATATATGTTAAAAAATTGTACAAATTATATCCTTAAAATTTAAATTTTTTAGTTGATATGGTTATTTCACACACAAATGTATTAGCCTTATCTAATTGGATATACTAATTATATTCATTTCAGCGGAGATACCGATGGTAGAATTCCGGTGACTGCAACTAGATACACATTAAACAAGCTAGGATTGAACACTATTGAAGAATGGACTCCATGGTACCATGGAAAACAGGTAATTATCGCTAATCTCTTGAGATTACTGATAGTTAATTATTAGATTAATGAATGAAATCAAGTTCTAATGATCTCTCTTTTTTCTTCCATGAAATTAAATCATGCTATAAATTGCTGTGGAGCTCTGAATATGGGATCTTGTAGGTTGCAGGGTGGACAATTGTGTACGATGGGCTAACTTTTGTCACCATTAGAGGGGCTGGCCACCAAGTACCAACGTTTAAGCCTAAACAGTCCCTTGCCTTCATTAAGCGCTTCTTGGAAAATAAGAAATTGTCGTCTGAAGCCTTTTAGTAGAATCTCCATCTTCTTCTTGCTTTCTTGCCTATTTGGACTGGTAGTGCAATTATAATTATTACCACATCCTTCTTCTCCTTCAGATGAAGGAAAAGAGTTTAATGCTGAAAATGTTGATCGAAATTCCCTTTAAGAAATTACCCTAAAATTCATATCACATACCAGCCCATTTAACACCTATCCTTGACTTTGAAATTAATTTTTCACAAGATTCCACCAAAAAAAATAATATTTATATTAAATGGTTTTATTTTATAAAAAAAAAATTATATTAAATGTTATTTTACATTTAAAGTTCATCAAGAAATAAATTTAAATTCAAGTTAATTTTTTGTTTCAGGTTAATTTTTTTGGCAGTACAGTTTTTTATAAGTGTTTTAAATCAAAAATAAATTAAAAATTATTTTTAAAGTAAAATAAATTATGCCTGATTTTTTAATTATTATAATGACAGAAATTTAAGCAAACCAAATAACTAGTTATCTAATTATTTTAAAAAAAATAGAATAACAAACTCAAACAAAAAAGAATTAAGGATCAAGGCAGCTAATAATAATTAACGCAATGTTTTTTTTTATATATCTTCAAGATGTACAAATCAAAATATATCTGATTATAAAATAATAAATAATATTATCTTAGAAATAAATCATACATATTCAATTCTCATAAGATGGCAGTATATTTGACTGTCTTTGTTTTGCTTCGCTAGAAATAAAATACAAAGTAACGAAAATAAATAAATGAGCGAAAGAGAGGATGGGAGAGCCAAAACCATTATTCCGTTGCCGGGACTTGAACCCGGGTCTCTCGGGTGAGAGCCGAGTATCCTGACCAACTAGACTACAACGGATGTTGTGGGAACTGCCCCCAATACCTCAATATAGAACAATGATATAAAATATTCTCACCTGCATTAAATTGAATGTAATGTATTATGTGATATTGTGGTCAATCGCATACCTTTATGTGGTTACGGAATTTTTATAATTACAATATCATGTAAAATCACAATTGTAATGATTCATTGCATTAAATTATATGTGTGTGTGTTTGTTAATGGTTTTTACTTTGGCTACCAAGCAGCGGGAAATGGAGAAACAATGAATTCAAGAAGGATTCCATACTTGAATATTTAAACTTTATATGACCTTTGATGCTTATCTGGGCTCACCTCCTCCCTTATTCTCCTATTTATGGATTGGTGAACTGTGAGAGTTTTCAGAAGCACAGCACTTTTGCACGCTGCAGATTAAGCGGGAGAAAACGAAAGAAAAGCATAGTATGGTTGGAAGTGATGAGAGCACCAAAAATTTCGAATTCTATTAATTCTGAAGATACAGCAGCGTCACCTTCTGGCGTCAGCGGTACGACAGACTCATCTACTTTACAGTACTCAAACAACCAAACCTTAATGTTAGAACAGGCAATTACTTAAAAGAATGTGAACATTAAAAAGGTTTAGTGCTTGCCCTAAAACTGGAACGTAAAGCCTTGGTTTTGCTTTTGTTCTTGGTTATACTATTACTGAGCTCCTCATCGATCAAAGAATCCAGGACCTGCCTGTGAAAGTAGTTCCTGTCCAGCATCCTTTCCCATTGCAATCATATCATCAAAAGCATACGGACCCTTTCTAGAAGTCTTGAGTACTGAAATACAGAGAGGAGGAGAAAAAGTTTCATTATCATAAAGGACAGAAGCTACATGAAACTGGGCATACTCATTGTTCATTGTAATATCATACCGCGAGTTCCATCAGGAGAAGCAACCAACCCTTTAAATATGCAATCACCATTTTCATCTCTTCTAGCATATCCAGCAATAGGAGTGCGGCAGGACCCATCTAAGGTCTCAAGAAAGGCCCTCTCACATGCAACTGCTAGTCTTGTTTCCTCGTGGTTCAAAGAAGCCAAATAATTAGCCTGCACACAGTAAACAGATGAACAGGATAAGTGTTAAGAAGCCTAGTGATTAGCCTGCAAAACCCACAACTGAATGGCCATCTACCAACCATTTCAAGGGCTGACAATACATACAATAAAGTCTCCAGGTTCTGTTATTAATATTATCCTACAGCAGTTGAAGTGGATATGCAGATTTTGGATCAACTATTCCATGTATTCAAAGCTTAGATGAGGTACACAGAGCATAACACACCATTTTGTCATCACTGTCTCGACAGGCAATTCCAATTGCACCTTGGGCAACTGCAGGAAGCATGTTATCGATTGGAAGAATAGAAGTTACATTTTCCGTCATATTTAGGCGTTTAAGCCCAGCTAATGCCAATAGTGTTGCCTTTACAACTCCTTCATTAAGTTTTCTCAGCCTTGTCTGAACATTGCCCCTAAAATTTTCTTCCACCTACAAAACAAAATCATCCAAAAAGATAAATTAAAAGCAACAAAAAGATGTCAATGATCAAGAAATGCTAGAGAACCCTGAAAGTAAGCTCAATAAAGGTAACTCAACAAGCTTAAGAGAGCTAAAAATCTTAAATGATGACAGCAACTGCCTCAGAATGCTTGCTTTTCTAAAACGCAAAACCATCAAAGATTGACCTTTCTTTCATGAAACAACTTAGCATTGCCACAAAAGACAAAATATTTCATTTAAAATAAATTTTCATAAATCCCAATGTACTTCTCTCTCTTGAATTCAAACACAGAAAGAAGATTTACTGTCGATAGCAGTGGTTTTTTTACTTCAAACGGACCCTCAAATAGCATTTTCTCTTTCCTTCTCAAAATTACTCCTATACAAAGGTTAGTGCTTGTTTTCATGATCAGTCTCCAATGCAGTTGGAACTCGCTGCTTAGACTCATAGTCACCATCAGACCTCAAATTAAAATATCTTGATTGGGTGTGAATGATACAACTTAAGTTCTACCTTGTGCAATTCACACATCATGGATCTACCTCTTCAATGGAATGGTTTTAAAAGCAAGATTGCACTTTAAGTTACGCCTACAAATGTCGGCCATACTAAATTAACAGGAACAATAACTTTTAGAAGAGTACTTTTTAACTTTCATGTATGAGTGTCAGGACAATTTAATATCATTTTCCTGGGAGAACTAATTCAAAACAAGTGGTTCAATAAACTTACACTGAGCGATGGATATCTGTGGAGTATTTGTGACTTTCTTCTGAGGGAAGCAGTACCAACAATGCTACCAGCAGGAAGATCTGCTAGCGAAGTTGCACTCATTGAAATAAATGCATCTCTAACATCCTCACGCGGAAGGTTACAGGGGAGGATGGTCATCTCTGGTAAATATGTAGGAACATCTTTCATTGAGTGGACAGCAATGTCAATGTCACCATTTATCAGTGCCTCATCTATTTCTTTTGTGAACAGTCCCTTTCCACCTATGTCTGCAAGTGGTTGACTTAGTATCTTATCTCCCGTTGTCTTTATTATCACAATTTGGATAGCTCCATCTTCAGCTAGCTCTGCATGTGAAGCCATGAGTTTGTCCCGTGTCTCATGAGCTTGAGCAAGTGCAAGTGGGCTGTCAAACATGTGAAAAGAAAATCAACAAGCAAAACAACATAAGAAAATATCTGGCTAGAAGAGATGGCACAAAATAGAATGTGTTCATATAAGAGGGGAAGATGGGACTCTCCCTCAAGAAAGAGACATTCATAACCTGATATTCAGAAACTAATGATATAAGACATGCAAAGATAAATTACAATATTGAAATGAGACATTGAGGAAATGGTGAAAGAAAACATGCAGGGTTAAATTGCAGAATAAACTCGTCAATTGGCAGAAGTGAGCAGCCAAAGGGATCATTAGGAGAGTGATCATGAATTCATGACTAATTTTGAGAACCTGTTTCAAAAGCATAAGAAGAGGAGACAACTTCTTGATTACGATAAATATTAAGGAGATTTTGGTGATCTAATGATGAGGTAGATGTGGATTAGCACCAATTATGATGTTTCACTTGATGATGATTATGTTGACAATGATATCATATGCAATGACAGTAATAGTAATGATGATATCATTAATGATGTTCTTATTGATAATTTAGAGTTTGAGTGCAAAGAAAACATGGAAGATGCTCAACAATAAAATTATTAAATCAAATTATATTGAAAAATTTGATTTCAAGTTTAAGATTATCATAAATGTAGATTTGTTCAAGAGTTATTTTGATATAACACATGTTAATGAAACAAGTTTAAGGTTTGCAATTTATTACTCTATAAGCAAATGAAAGTGAAATAATTTGTGAATTGTTGTATTTTATATAAATTTTAAGATGAAGCGATTGAAAATGTTGTATAAAACTATTATACACCCGAAGTGAAGGAAAAAAAAAGGTTGAAGAGCCTTGATAGAACATCCACAAAGACGAGACAAGTGTTTTTCAACCCAGGGAAACTGATGCAGGAGGCTTTTAAGGACAATTATTTTTCCATTTTCTTGTTATTTTTTTCTATTTAATTTAGAAAATTAAATAATATGTTTAATAATTTTATTTTTCTTGTTTAGGAATTTTCCTTTTTCTTTCAGGTTTCCTATTTTGTTTAGCTTGGTTTTTTAATTTATTTAAGGAGTTGCAAGCCTCTTAACACGACAGAATACTATGATTAGGGTTTTTGTGTGATCATTTCTTTTGAAGATTTTGTATTCTTGTCTTTCTCGTATGTTTTCAATATGCGTCAATTTCCCATTCGATGAGCATATCAAGCTCCAGCATCTACCTATATCTAAACACAAAATGACATCAAGTGTATCATTTTATGACAAAATTGATTGCAATTAAGTAGAAGCTTTCGGATTACTGAAACCAGAACATACAAAGATTCACGAACAAAAACAACACCAGTAACTAATGAAATGAATAAAATTGAGACAAATCAAAACCACTTTTCACAAACAGATGTCAATCTAGAAGAAAAAAATTGAAGTCAAAGTCAATACAAACCGCAGCAGTTATTGAATTGATCAACTAAAGTCAGCTAAATCTCTTTTACCGACTCAAAAAACTCAAAACCACAACAGCCAATTCAAACAGAACTTCCACTTCAAGGATCACTGCTTGCAATTTGCAGAGCATCCCAACAATCTGTTGAAGCAAATAGACCAGCAA